ACTAGTCCCAAACAGAACGAAACGTGCGTCCTGGATTCCACTGCTAGCCATTATCCATCTTTGCTTATAATGCTTGTAAATTAAGGCAATATCGAGGCATATGTACAGTATGCACATATGCCAATAAGAGACTGATCAATTTCAGTCGTAAAACATCAATGGGAAGATTCAAGTAAAAACAATATCAAGTGAATTAAGTAGGAGTAATTACGTCATCTGGATATGAGTCTTATACAGACTATATTGATAAACATAGTTCACTTCACTTGAAGGTGTTTGCAACGCTACACGAAAAAAGAGCGTTTGAAACACTCGGTTAATGATAGGCTTATTTTTGCGCTAATGTGTCGCCTAATGGATCTTATGGAAAACTGACTGATACTCCATTTGTATTTACGACAAGAGAATCAATGTTTATGTTGCGTATATGTTAAACAATAGTTTACACGATTTAAATTATGGCCAATAATTATGAAAGACTTCCAGTTTCTTGGTGACTCAAGTGATCATTTGTGTATGAATTCACAAGTGTGCATGAAAGCAAGTGGGATGGCTAGTCACTTACCTAAAGAACTAGGATAATCTAATCGTGTAATAATTTGAAATAGCGATAAAGACAACTGTTCACCATTTGTTAAGGAATTCAGGATTCTTCATGATTGCATGAAAAATGATACACTGGTGAACAGTAAAGGCTTTGATCTTTTAAGATCTAATCTTATGATTAACCATGGTATTCCTAAACATATTGAGATGTGTGAGGAGATTGCTAGTTAGTATTAATGTTAATTTACTGTATATATTGGTTAGAATATCTGTGGTGTTTGAATGAAGCAATGATACCTCTGTACTTGTTGATTGCTCAATTTCGAATTCTAAATACAATACATTCGTTTGTGCTCATCTAGTACTTCTTGATTAAATTGCGTTATTTCTGGGATTCCTAGTTCCTACTTTAATTCAAATAATTCGAAATACCAAAATATCTTGATCTGTAATTAGGATGCTATGGTGTCACATACTGTCATAGTATAACGTGATGCAGTTCTTAATATCTGAAGTTCACTTATTTTCATAATAATAATTATTATTATTGGTCCCTCGTTACATTAGATAATCTTTTCGTCGCTTGTTTTCCTCCTAAACTTATTATATTCATAAACACCTAAAGTCTCTAACTAAAAACAAATTATATTATGTTACGCCTAAATAAATTAACTTCTCAAATTAATTTTATCATCACCATATATATATATATATATATATATATATATATATATATATATATATATATATATATATATATATATATATATATAACACATAGAAATTTATATTTGATCATCCTTTGCATCCTTATTTGTAACTTTTATAGCGTCATTCTGAATGATTATTGCACAAGAATTTATACTAATATCAAGTTTTACTCTGTACCCTAAAACATAAATTTCCGCGTATTTACCCGAGTGGACTAAAAAATATTTTAAAAAATTAATGGTTTACTTCAGAGGTCGATATTCATTGCTCTCGTATTATTATGGTTGAACACTTTCAGTAGGTATCCATTTCTTTTTTTCTCTCTCTCTCCCTCCTTTCTAAATAAATGTTGTTCTTAAGTGTCCGGAGTTTGTAATCAAGACAATATCTTGTGTTGCACTTGAACTAACTTCTCAGATTCATTTTATTTTCACCATGTATATGTGACTCAAACATATATGTATCATTATAATGATACTTGATTATCCTTTGCAATTAATTGGGACTTCATAGCATCACTCCAAACCATTACTGCACAAACATTTATTCTACCTTCATATCTTACAGCAATAATAAGTTATTTTTTCATTTCTTCATTTAATTTCAATCTTGTTTCTTCTTGTTATCCATTTGACGATGCATACATGGTCGTTTATTCTTGTTTTGTGTTCACAAACACGGTTATTAAACTGTTTGTGTATTTCCAGTTCCCCTCATTGCCATTACCTTATTTTCTCCCTTTCCTTCTTTAAGGTTACCTCAATATTCTTTTCAATTGCACATAACCTGTTTTTTAAAAATATGGTAAATATTATGTCAACATTATTGAAACTTGTGCGTTATTTCATTTCTGAAGAAACCCGAAACAGTTTCTTCACATCACTTATGCACCCGTAAGCTGTTTGTGAATGATAATGATAATAATAATAATAGAGATTAGTGGAATGATATGTTTGAATGTAAGTAGACTTCGGGTTCAGACGGTAGCGATAAATAAATCCCCAAAATAAACAGTCCTATAAGCCTTCGGAATTTGGTGCTGACCGCTCTGGTTTTACTGGACTCAGCTCGCTGAAGGCGCTCGGTCACACATCCGTAATAGTCCACGAGTTGGTACGCCATGTTACACATCCCTTGCAACTGTTAGCCGGCTTAAACCGAACGATTCTCGACATATCGATAGCCTTTAAATTATATCTTCAAACCTCTTCACTTATGACTTCTGATTTGACTGGGTTAGCATACTTAGAATATAAAAGTGTTATTGATAAAATTGTTGTAAAAATCCGAATACTTGTGACATCTTCAGTGATGAGAATGACGTGATCTGGTACACTAACTAGTGAACTGCGAGTCTGTTCCTTGTTGGAACCTAATATATCATTTTTTCATTTTATTTTTACATGTTGTGATAAAATGTTTATATTTTTGAACTTTTTTCCTGCTCGTTGCTCTATTATATCTTCGTTACGATGGAACAGATAACTAAGTTACCTAAGATTGAACCTCCTCTGCCTCCCACTATTCACTTACTTGCTTACGCCTGTTACTCCTAATGGAGCATAAGCCGCCGACCAGCATTCTCCAACCCACTCTGTCCTGGGCCTTCCTTTGCAGTTCTATCCAATTTTTATTCATTTTTCTAATGTCTGTCTTCATTTCTCAGTGTAATGTATTCTTCGGTCTACCTCTTTTCCTTTGGTTTTGAGGATTCCACGTGAGCGCTTGTCTTGTGACGCAGTTGGGTACCTTCCTCAATGTGTGTCCTATCCACTTCCATCGCTTCTTCCTGATTTCTTCCGCCGCTGGGATCTGGTTTGTTCTCTCCCACAGTACGTTGTTGCTAATAGTGTCCGGCTAACGGATCCGAAGTATTTTGCGTAGACAACTGTTAATAAACTCTTTTATCTTCTGAATGATGGCTTTCGTAGTTCTGCAGGTTTCCGCCCCATACAGTAGAACTGTCTTGACATTTGTACTGAAAATCCTGATCTTGGTTTGGTTGACGGTTGTTTTGAGTTCTCTGACTATTCGGCCAATACAATATTCATCAAATAATTTAGAATCCTGGTTCTGATGCACGGGAGCTAACTTTCACTAGCACAGAAAGACAGACCTATGTGCACAATTCCCCACATCTTTAAAAGCGCAACCGCTCGATTTTAACAGGTACATCACATCTAGTGTGTTTACTAGTGGTGTTTCGAAACCTTGCGACTGTTCTTAAGTGTGGGGACCTAAGCAACCGACAAAGGCTAGGCTAACTCTTCCACAATATCGAGCCGCAAGACGGCTCAGCAAAAGAAATGTTAGTATGTATATCAGAGTTCCTTGGCCAATGGACTCTTGACGAACCTTGACGCGTTAACGGCACCTGCAGCCGGAGGGCATAGCCGTCTGTTACACAACACTGGAGAAAAAGTAAGCGTTCTTCCGGCAAATTCTAACCTGCTAGAACACCATAGTCTACCCGTCGATACGTAAAAATGGATTTAAGTAGACGAAAAGATTAATTTATCTGTTTGTATGATTTCCTTTTCTAGTTGTAGGCCATCCTAAATCACTGTTAAGCACATAATCGATCTATGCTATCAACAGATATTCGAAAAGTAACCCGAGCTGTACCAAACACGAAAAAAAAAGTTATCGTATGCAAACGGCAGCGTTAAAAACGACATCACCACCGTTGAACCACCTGTATTTTCAGGAGCGTGCCAACCAGCTTCCGAAAAGCTATGGTTGGCCAAAAATGAATTCGACCATAAGGTAGATTGCACATGGTCCCTAAAAGGATGGGAATGATTGGTGTTCAACTGATGACTATCAGCGATTGAATGCGAAAATAATTTCTGATTGTTACTAGTTGACTCACATTTACGATTTCAAAGCTATTTTAAAAGGTACAACTGTTTTTTTCGTAAATCGATTTGGTTAAAGGCTGTATCCAAGTTCTCACGGCTGCTGACGAAGTTCCTAAGACTGCTATCACCGCCTTCTTCTGAACTTCAGGGATTTTTGCTCATGCCTTTCGGTTCGAGAATTGCTGCACAAGCATTTCACAGTTTCATCGATGACTTCTTTAGAAATTCCAGATTCATATATACGGATGCAGATAACCGCTTGATCGCAAGTCAAGACAGAGAATCTCATCTTCAGTATCAGCACCTTGTTTTCGAATGGCTTCAAAATTATGGCATTACTGTAAACATTCAGAAATGTCAAATTGGTTCCGACTCCCAAAATTTCTCTGGATATATTATTGATACTCAAGGCATCCGCCTTCTGTAAAGCAAGGCAATAGCCATCGTGGATTATGAAGAACCAACCACAACCAAGTAATTGTGTGTGTTCAACGGTCTTTTAAGTTTCTATCGACGATTCATACCGATTAAGGGTCTCATGCGAGTACAGATGGATCTAAGAAGGGAAAAAATCGACAGCAACACAAGCTAATGACTAGGATGATAATCAACTAAAAAATGTTATCAAAAGATGTGTTTAGAAAGCTCCTAATCCTAAAGGGAATAACTCAAGTTATACTGTACTAAGTATGCTACTGATTAAATTAATACACAAAAGCGTAGTTAAGGCACGAGTATGAAGTCGTTGCTCGTTCTTAAAACTCATCTATGCAATCTAATCACACTAAAATAATGATTTATTTTATCTGGTTAGCAAAGAAAGAATATAGTAGACTGCCTGTCTGATTAATCTGTATATTGAAAACTGTAATTGTTTGAACTACTTAGGACGAAAGGTGTGGGATTCAAGGTTACATATCCGTGGTTATAAAGTGGTTTGTTGCAACTGGGATAATGGGGGCTACAAACAAGCTGGAAGACAAAAATGTGGTTTCTGATTCTGGTAGTGACTCGGACGACTCTGCGCCAGAAATAGAAGATTCTAAAGAACAAAGCGATGCCAAAGTTTCACATATGGACGACGAATTACTCAGTCGATGTAAGCAGTCCAGAAGTGAAAAAAAAGCTAGGAAAGCTATGTCGAAGCTGGGATTAAAATTAGTACAGGGAGTTTGCCGCGTAACTATACGGAAAGCAAAGACCATTATGTTTGTAATCAATAGGGCAGAGGTCTATAAATCATCTGCCTCGGATACATACATTATATTTGGTGAGGCTAAGGTAGAAGATATATCAGCACAAGCTCAGATAGCTGCAGCTGAAAAACTTCGTAGTCAAGCTATGGGAGGTGCTGAGTTAGGGACTTCCAGTGGTTTATCAAAAGATACAGTTTCATCTATCTCCAAGACTGCCATCGCGGAGGAGTCTGAAGATGATGAAGAGGTAAAGTAATTATAATTAAGTTGATTCTGCTTAGCCTGATGCTACTGGATTGGATGAAAAAGATGTTGAACTCATTATGCAGCAAGCTGGTGTATCGCGTGGCAAAGCTATTCGAGCACTTCGTGAAAATAACGATGATGTTGTCAATGCTATTATGGTAGGATCTGTTTAACCTAATTGTTTTATCTCTTCTAGTCACTCACAGGATAGCCGGAAAATTATAATGACATGTGATTTGTGTCGTTAATAATTCAATCATTATTTTTGAAAACTATTTCTCACAGCATCATATTCTTAGTAAACATTTTTTCACTGGTTTCGAACTTATTTATTTAATCGCTTGTCTTTTTTTGCATTTTCTCAAGACGTACAGACATAACACAGAAGAATGCAAAGCATTTTCAGTAGTTGTAAACTAATTTAGGTTAATAATGTTGCCGAAATTAAGTCCAACCTCATCTCTATTTATGTATTTTTTGGTCGTCACTAATTCTGAAAACTTGTTCCTTGAGAACAATAGTATATGGGTTAACCTTACGTTTAGGTCACTGGCAATTGTAGTTGTAACTCACCAAGTACATACTTTTATACTTGACCAAAGTAAAATAGATGAAAAAAGCGTTCGTGCACCAGGTCTGTTAAAAATTGAATGGTCCCATTATTGTTGTTACGAAAAGTAACTTGCCTGAATTGTTTAATTGCTCATCTCATGCTAATATGCATGGAAACATTATTTGAAATGTCATGTCACTACTGTGTATGCTTTCGTAGTTTTGGCTAGCGGTTACCTTCTATTGTTATAGCTAGTATTATTGTGTACCAGGCAACTGTACCGTAAAGAAACGACTCCGTGCAGCAGATTTGAGCAGCTTTCCATTTTGTATACTGCACCAGGCGATGTTTTCGTTACTCCTAATACTGACAGATATAAATAAATTGTTTTGAAGCAAAGTTTGCTCATATAACAATAGGGACTATGGTATCAGTCACGAAATTGGGAACAACTCGAGAATGACTAAGTATTTCATACATCGTTGGGTTAATGCCGTTCTATTATTATTAGTCTAGATGTCACGGAAATCGTCATTGATATACAATCAATAGCGAAATAAATATACCTGTATTTGACCTTTATGATATTTGCAACGTGTTCTACCTAATTTATCGACATTTCAATTAAAAGATGTATTTGTTCGGATTATCGTATTGACCAACAGCTTTCATAACCACAGTTCACTGATTTTGTGGCAGAAATTCGGATAAAGAACTCGTCTGCTTATTCGACTGACGTGAAAACGCACGGGTACTCTTCCGGGTGACGAAGCTGAGCGTAATATTTCTGTCCCACAATCAAGGAGTCCCAAAACTATTTGATTGTTACTGTCATAACCAGCAAACGACAGAACACTGACGCAAATATTGTAGTTCAGGTCAGGAGTACATGTGAGTGCATAGTGAATCAGTCAAAAAGCTTCAAAATTGCGTTTTGAAAAATAGTACGGCCCAATATGACCAGTTATTATAAGTACGTGAGAGAAACTGGCGACTTCAAATCATGAACTAAAAGCAGTCCCCTCCATAACATTGAAAAGTGCCACCAAACTTGTTTCGACAGGAGTTGATGGTAACCTTTGCACAAAACTATTGCACTCTGTGCTTCGTTTGGTACATGAACTAAGAAAACCAGGTGCTGTAGGACATACAATGATATGAACTGATATTGTGCAGTGTTACGTCGTTAATTAGTTTAACAAGGCTGGATTTAACTCACGTCATGTAGATTAAACTGCTCATGTATGAGCTGTTTATGGAGGGGGCTAGTAACTAACCTTTTGCTGAAACTGGTGTAATGTTTGGGAGCTGTATGTTATGCATATGGTTTACCTTGTATAGTAGTGAAAATCCTGAATATTTCCACCTAAGAAGCTTAGTCGTTAAACTGTATCACCGGCAAGTTCTATGCGACTTGAACAAAATTACAGTTGAATAGCGCTTGCTACTAAGTGAAAGATGATAGTGCCTAGTCAGTCGAGTGATTGTTCAAGGCATATCTGCTTCAGTTTTGGCAACCGAGTAATATCAATAACCGTCACCTTAATTGTGCCTAAAAACCGAAATGATATGTACTTGGTAAATAAACTTATAAAATTCACTTTAGCGCCTAGACCTATTAACTCAATTACTTAAAATGCTTTGACTTATGCACTAGCATCAAATAACTGTCAGGTTTGAATATATTTGATTTATGAGAATGAGCTATTGCAAATATGGGTGTTAGCTGAACTTTCATATTCCCAGGGATTGTTGTGACGAGACTCCGATCTTGCAAACATTACTCGGTTACTCTAAAAGCTTAATAAGACGGTTGCTTTCGATTTTCAGACCTCCCTCGGTGTAAAGTAACAATCTCGAAATAATATCGCCTGAAACGGACTTCTCGTGAGTAATGTTAAGTAAATTCTTGGTCTAAAGTGTTCTGAATGAATGGTGCAAAGCGGTCATCTGGATTTTTGATTAGGCGTACTACTTAACGATCCTCTTGTTGATCCGTTCAAATGACGATTGGAGTAGGTCGTCGTCAATACACTCGGACCAGTAGTCTAGGACATGGTTCACTTTATTTGTATTAAAAACCACACTGAATGAAGTAGATGTAGGATATTTGATCATGTTGACTTCACACTAGTATTGTGAAACTTATTTATTTGAACACATTAATATTAGGCCAGGTTTCACAAGCATAGAGCAAAACTGCTTTCACCGACGCGTTGTAGATCTGATTTTTCACAGCCAAACTGACATCACGAAGGCGCCAAAGATGGCCCACTTTGGCCTTCATCATAGGTGTGAATTGAAATAGGTGATTTGTCATAATAACATCAGAACTAATCATATGGTTGCTTATTTATTTGAACACATAAATATTGGTACGAACGTGCACCGAGCACAAGTTACTTGGTTGTGTGGTGGCTGAAGTACTGCCCAGATCCTAGCAGGTGGGTTGTTATTGAGCCACACTCGGAGCCTTCGACCTAAAGGTCTGACCCACAGGGCAGTTGAGTAGCGTAAAGAGATGCAGTCAAAGGTAGCCGGTGACCAAGACTTGCGTCATGCGCCGTTTGTCCTCAGGATGCTGGAGCCCGTTTGCACCATTGGCTTGTAATCGGGGCTTTCCAACTCCCATAGGTAGTTCCACAAACCCGGTTAAAGCGCTAGACAACCGCTCTTCGTCATCTTAGTTTTGTGAACAGCACTCCCGACATGAGAAGGTAGGAAGTAGGACTTCTCTGGCTGTAGTTGTATGCACGTGGCCGTGCGGGTGCATTTCGAGAGAGACCTAACTCCCGCTACCTTTGGCCGCACTAACACGTATCCAATTGCAAAGTTGTCTTCCATAGCACATAGCAAAGTCAATCCCCGAAGGATAAGCCAGTTTAAAAATGTAAATTTGCGAGCTACACTTAAGTCGCTTCAGCGATTTGTGTCAAAAATTATTAATATAAGTAAAAACGAGCAATAAAGTTACTTCATGTTTCGGGTTCTAAGCACACAAGCAATAGTTCCTTACAATGGATTTGTTTTGTGAAATACAGGGAATATTATGGTAGGTAGTAGGTTGGTGACTATTCGTGGACAAACTTATTAGTAAAGCTTCAATAAAATGAGAGCCTAGTCAGGATTATCTGCAGGTTTTATACCGTTTAATCTGTCGGGTATTCGTTACTCGCCCCTACAACGTTTTTGAACTCACGGTGAACAAAGTGCAATTGTTATAAAAAATGTTTCTGATGTAATGCGTCACACAACTACTAGTAGGGTGTATGAAATTTTTGAACACGGGTGAGTTCTAATAGGTGAGCTATCCATATGGTAAGTCACAGTCTATTATAAACAGGACTTCATTATACGCGATCAGGAGTAATCTACAATACTAAGAAGCTTTTGTTGTGATTACGTCGCGCACACCATTCAAATAGATGATATGCGAGCTAGGAATGGCAAACAAAATCCCGGTTGTATCGTAGGCATATTATTCTCGTCCACCCTTCAGTGTTTACGTTAAGTTCAGTAGTCTCTGTCTTACAATAGCATGTCTTTGTGACATTGGAAAATGTAGTCCATCCACAGAAAAGCATCGGACAACGTTGACAGGTTTCGCAGCAGCACGTATAAATAATGGTGTTAAGTTGGAGTAAAGTAACCTGTAGTTGGCTTGGGAATTTTGATTTATTAAGTATTTTAGCTCCATATGGCTTTGTAACGGTGTGTGACATTTAATTATTAAAATCCAGCAAATAGCAACGGCAGTTGTATTTCATTGAGAATTGCACCCATTATATTATATACCGTTGTTTGGAAAACTGAACGCGACGTCTAACACGTAAATGTGTCTGCTTAAGTAACTTTACACAATCGCGAGTGACTCTTTTCAGTCATTTTGCAGTAGAAATTCACTATACCTAAAGTCGCTTGCCTAAACAAAAACATACTGCAAATTGAGGACTGGATTTAATTCAAACTACTATGCCCCACAAACTGCAATCGGTTTCTGAGCAGCAACGGGAACTATTTCCGTATGAGTCACTAACTGAAGTGACTGTTCCATTTGTCCAGTGAATTTTTCAGCTATGATCGACCACATTAGCAACTTGCATGGATGGCCCGTTATTTTTTAGGACATGAACTCCACAAAGCCTGTCACCACCGTCAGCAATTTAAGCAGAAGACAGATATGGCTATACAAATACATTACTATATTTACTTCGATTTAATTAGACAAGAGAACGCAGTAAGAAACGTAGTCCCTCAGTAGATGACACTTAGAACTAGCGGAAGGACACAGTAGATGCGTCGATAACGAGTACATCAGATGGTGCTAGGACATTAGAGCCATCACATAATTTTAGCACCTAGCGTGTGTATGCACTCTGAGATATGACATCATTTTGCGACGAAGTAAACTTGTCCAGACACATTGACTATCACAGTCGGTTTACCTTAGTTCGTTTTAATCCAAACACAATGATCAAACAGGATTTTACATTTCAGGCAGCAGTGCAACAGATAAGTCGATCATAATGAGCAAATACTAGTATAGCTTATTATTATTACTTGAGAAAATTCTAGCATGGCAGTACTAATTTAATCTAGAAATATAAAATCACTAACGAGATGAATTTTAAGCGTATTGGGTAACAATCAAAAACGACTTAGTTTGGTCTACTTCAGTCGCAAGTTTGACCAAATATTTGAAATTTGGACCATTTATTATTGAGATAGTTCCGAATGGGAGATATGTTACGGTGCTAGTCTTAAGCATATTCCGTCAAGGACC